TTTGTGAAATTGTTAATTTAAAATGTAACTTTTAGGTGCTTGCTATGTAAAGGACTTCTGTGGTGAATATTGTTTGAATATAAAACATTTAAAACTAATTAATTATTCCAAATATGTTTTTTTCTATAAATCCATGTTTCCCCCCTATTTTAGAGCTCCTTTAAAGTGAGTACTATACTAGTATCTCTCTCTCTTTAGATTTTGAATTTCTTTTCCTTATAACATTAGTGTACCAGAGTTTTGTTCCAGGGCTCTGGAACAGAGTATACTTACCAGTTAGAAGGCTTACTATATGCGTGGTACTATGTTGAAGTAGAAAGGAATATACCTTATAGACATATACAAAGAAGTCAAATTTCTAAAATCTTACCAGGGAACTTTACCATGAGTATGCTTTTAATTATAAATTTGTTCCTTTTTTCTAAAGAATAGAATCATTGATTATTTTCATTTTTCTATAGTTTATATATTGCCAATAAAACACTTCTCTGTTGTTTTTAAGTCATACTTCATAAATGTAGAGATGGCATTCTAAAAGACACATGACTTTAACATGCTAAATAGACATCAAGAGGAATACTAATAAAACTTTAATGTGAACAAAGGAGACAGCTCCAGAGAAACTGCAGATATGACACTTCCAAAATGAATTATTGTATGTACTCTGGAGACAATATGTGGTTTAAGTTCTTACCACATTGATAGATAACATTAACTAAATTAGGTGTCCTATGTGGTAGGAAGCTATTTTGAATGTTGTTTTCTATGGTGATTTTGATAAACATTTACATATTTGCAAATGCAGGTATATTTAGTTAATTAAACTTTGAAGAGAAGAAGACATGGTTTCAGTTCATGGGAGAGTAAGTTCTTTTGCATTAAAAAGAGAATTTATTTTGCTGTCAGCACAGTTTAGCACAACCACTTTTGTACTAATGACAGCATCATAGCACTGAAGGGGATGTCTTCCAATAGAAAACTGATTCTTGATGATTCAAGAACAGATTTAATTTTTTTTTTCCTGGAAAGCTCTTTCCCCCATGTGGTTTCCATGCTACCCATGTGGTTTCCCCTCAGTTTTTTCAGGTCTCTGTTGAAATGTCATCTTTTTAGGGTGGCATTACCTGACAGTTTTACCTAAAATAACCCTCCCATTCAGTCACTCCTCAGCCACTGATTTCTCTTGTCTTTCTTTACATCACATACCACCATTTGATATATTACACCTTTGTGTGTCCGTCTCACCCACTAGGATAGAAGCTCTATAGAGGAGAAAGTTTGTTCATGGCTGTATCCCTAGAGTGCAGAACAGTAGGCTCCCAGGAAATAGTTGTTGAGTCAATTTATGGGGTTTCTTCTGAAAGTTTCTATTGACTTCCTGGAAGATTTACACTGTTATCTTTCTTTATCAGCAGCATTCTAATTTAACAATAATTATTTTGACCACTACATTATTTTGAATATTGATCTTTTCTTTCATTGCTATTTCTTAAAATTACTAGTTCTTGCTTTACTAATGGAAGGGCAGGGTCATGGGCAGGGTTGCAGGCAGTCAGGCAGGCAAGCAGGCAGGCATAATTAGACACAATTGATAATCCAGAGATCACTTTGCTTTTGGAATGTATCATGTGATTTTTTTGGAGGGGCGTAGAGGACATCAGTCAGTTTTGTTCTTCCTTTGCTTTCCTTCATTACATTTTCCTTTGGCGGCCCATTAAAATGTGTCTTCATTCTCTGAGCTCATGCCAGCTGCCTAGATGAGAGAATGGGAATGAACTAAAATTTTAGAATCTGTTTTGTCAAAGATGGGTCTTCAGTGATATAGATCCCAACCTTATAAAGTCTTTAGAAATACCTCAAGCCTCTAGATGTTATAGAAACCTCAATAGGAGTCAGAGGTGTGCATGTGTGTCCAGTTTTGCTGGCAGGTGAGACCTGATGGTTTTAACATATTGATCCTGCTATAGTTATCTGAAAAGCAGACTTCTTTAACAATAATGCCACCTTTAACTTACTCTTAGAAGTGTGTGCCAAGAAATAAATACAGGCAGTCAGAAAAATGCATTTATATATGCACATATACACCCTCATGTATGAACTGAAAAAAGGAGCTACATCAATGAGTTGGCAAGCAGTGGCATATAGACCATGGCTTCTGGTGGAAAGTACAGTAGTCCCTCAGTGTCCATAGTGGGATTGATTGCAGGACCACCCCACCCCTAGTCCACGGATACTGAAATCCCTTATGTAAAATGGTGTAGTATCTGTGTGTAGCCTACACACATCCTCCCTGTATATTTTATCATCTCAAGATTTCTTATAATACCTAATGCGATGTAAATGCTATGTAAGTAGTTGTAAGTACAGTGTAAATGCTATGCCAATAGTGTGCATCGATTGTAAGTTTTGCTTTAGGAATGTTCTGAAACTTTTTTTCCCAAATACCTCTGTCCGCAGTTGGTTGAATCTCCAAAAGCAGAACTCATGATTATGGAGGGCTGACGGTTTGTCTAACCCAAGGATCATTTTCTCATTCTACTTTTCGATTTGCCCTTCTGATGGCCACATCTGTCCCCATTTGTGTGACTGTTCATGAGCAACATCTGGTATGCAATTTAAAATAGATCTTCTGTAAGATAATATTCTGGTTTCAACCCTTTTGAAGTGTACTGTCCTTTCCCACCTCCTACAGTTATATCTCAACACCATTATTGGTACAGGCAGACCTCATTTTATTGAGCTCCCTTTTATTGCTCTATGCAGAAATTGCCTTTTTTTTTTTTACAGATTGAAAGTTCATGGCAACCCTGCATCAAGCAAGTCTGTCAGTATCATTTTTCCAACAGACTTGCTCACTTTGTGTCTCTGTGTCATATTTTGGTAATTCTCATGATAATTTCAAACTTTATTTAATATTACTGTTATATTTGTTATAGTGACTTGCAGTCAGTGATCTTTTGTTACTGCTACAGCTTGCTGAAGGCTCAGATGATGGTTAGCATTTTTTTAGCAATGAAGTATTTTTAAGGTATATACATTTTTTGGGGGTGTAATGCTGTGGCACATTTAATAGACTACAGTATAGTGTAAACATATCTCTTGTATCCACTGGGAAACCAAAAGAGTTGTGTGACTTGCTTTATTGTGGTGGTCTGGAACCAAACCTGCAATATTTCTGAAGTCGGCCTGTGTTCTCCACTGGTTGTTGACTTGAACTGCTCATTTTGGGAGGGATGCATTTTTCTTAATTTTTGTAGTGTTCGCTATAGTCTTTTCTGTCATTTTTAGTTTTTTCCTGGTGACCTTTCTCTTCTAAGAATTTTCTTCTCCACATTTTCAGTTGATTTCTATTTTCCTTTCATTTTAGTTGAATTCTTTAAAACTTCTTCTGGTGATTAATTTTTCATGTTTCGAGAGGCACTATGGGAGAGTAGTTAAGAGCATATGCTTTGGGACCAGACTGCCTGGGTTCGAATCCCAGCTTATCATTTACTAACTTGCATGACCACTGTTTATCAAATGTGGGTAATAATTATATCTACTTTGCAGGGTTGTAATGAATTTTAAGCTAATACATGTGAGGTTCTCAAAATAATACCTGGCACATAGTAAACATTGAATAGATATTATTCTTTCCTTTCCTGCAACAAAATATTTGTTCTTATGTAGCATCATTGCAGGTTCTTCAGCATTTTCAGTAAGATAAAGGTCAAATTACCTTGAATAAATTATGCTACATTTATACAATGGAGTATTATGCAACCACTTAAAGGATGAAGTATACTGACCAGAAAAGCTATTAATGATATTTTTAGATGGTAATTTGCAGTTCCACAATCATATTAGAATTTAATGTTTAAAAACTTTGTTATATAAGGACATGTCTGTAAACTTAAGAAAATATTGGAAAAAGTATGTATCATAGAGGAATGGGTGGAGAGGAAACGAGCTCTGGAACTTCGTAGTTTACATGATTTAAAAAGTGAGATTATTGAAAAACACACACATACTTTTTATGCATTTCAGTATTTTTAAAACATTAGAACAAAACTTCCTTTGCTTGTGTTGGATAGACATTCCAGTGAAAGTCTGTACATGTCTAGCTTAAAAAAAAAACAGATTTCTAAGAGTAGAGGTAATTAGGAAGACTGACTTATCAAGCGAATCAAAAAACAAAATAATAAAATCTTCTTTGCGTGGATGGATAAAAAAGAAACATGTTTATTGGCCATAAATGCCCACTTCCACACAGGTGTACACATCTGTGTGCACACAGCCTTAAAATGACTGAGCTACTCTGGAAAGCGACAAGAATTCTCATGAGGCAAAATGAGAAAAATAAGGCAGAAGAAAAGGGATAGGAGAAATGTGTTCATGAGTATATTCCTAGAGCAATGGTTTTCATATTTGAATAATAGTTCCAAAATAACTAATGATGTGTTCAGTAACATTTGAGTGCTCACTGTGTCAAGCCATGTTCTAAGCACCTATAGTGTTATTTTACTGTTACACATGCTCGTGAATTTATATGCACAGAATGTGTGTGAAATAGTGTTCATATTTTCACATATTTGTGATGGAGTGTGCAGCCCCTGATCTGTCAGTCTACCACAAGCCTAGTGAAAAAAACAATGAGTTCTGGAGTTATTTTAAAAGGTAGATAATTTTCCTCATTTCTTATAGTCTTAATTCCCTTGAAAAGTTCTACTTGGTGTATAAAATCAAAAACTCTGATTTGCATGCTGTCTTTGTGATTGGTTGCTATAAAGCCAATATTTAAATTTCCTTGAGGTCTTTTTTTAGTGTCTGGTATCACAGAATGAATATCTTGTCAGGAGGGTGAATATATATATGTGGCTCTTGGTCTTGTGTATTTTTTGACAAAGGAATTCCCCTCTGAATTGCCTGCTCCCCTGAAGCCCTTGGAGCCTCTGGCTCAAGCAGCGCAGTCAGCCTGTGCAGTGTCTCTGACGTCACCAGTGTATGCATAAGCCCTGCTATTGTCTTACTGCTATAACAGGGCTGGGGATTGCAGTATCCGCTGTTGCTGCTGCTCCCAGTCTTGCCCCTGCTGCTACCTAGTCCTGCCTCACTGCATCCCAGAAGAGCCACGTCGGCCTGCCTTTCCCTATTGGATTTTCAAAAGCAGCTCTTCGGGTGTTGGTGCTGTAGGAGACCTTGCTTTTCAATCACACGGGAGAACACTGAAGCTTGTAAGAGGAGAATCTGGCAGCTGGACACAGCTTGGACTGCATTGTCTGTCTTCATGACCTCTGCTGTGTAGCAGCTCATCTCTCTGCTCTCACACGTACACTCTCCTCGATTTTTTCTTCCTTCCTTTCTTTTTTCCATTCTTCTAATTTTTTAAAAGCAGCCTCTGGAGCCAGCCATGTTTGGCACTGAATCATCATGTAAGTAAATGGATCTCACTTTGCTGTTTAGAAATCTGCTTGCTGTCATGGTTTCACTGGCTTGGAGTTCATATCACTTTGCCTTAGGTCATTAACACAGCCTTTGTATTTTGGCTCTAATTGCAAAGAAATTGGTCTCAGGGAAGGGACTGCCCCTTAACTGGGTTATTCATCCTTAAGGCCAGGGATGTCAGTGTGGTCAAAACCAGGCCTCCAAGAGGGAGGAAGACAGGAATCTAAGCAGTCTCCCTAGAATGTGTTAATTGTTGGGATCAAGTCTCTCACTGATCTGTTGTTGTGGGTTCTATAAAGGTCCCGAAACCCTAAAATAGATAGTGGAAGGACCTGAGATGATAGTGTCTATTAGGAAGGGAAAAAGGGCTTACATCTTTTTATCCAAAAGGAGAAATAGCTGTCATTATACCTTCTTCCTCCATATTTATACAGAAAGATAGGGATAGATATTATATGCAGATTTAAAGATAAGAAATAAACTTTATTTTTAAAGATGGATTTTTTTTTTACACAGTGGCTTCAATTTTGATATGTTGGCTAGTGTCACAGTCCAACAGCATGATGTCTGTCTTAAAACTTATACAATGAAATTGCTTTGGTGCATAGCAGGCCCTGTACAAGGGGCTGGGCTGAATGGCACTTGTAGACAGCTAAAATGGGTATTTGAAAAATGATGACCAGCTTCAGTAATTTGAGGATTATTTAATGTTGAATATAGAATAATATAATTTGTCAGTGCAGTTGTTCAGGCTCTGCAGAATATTTTGTCATTATCCACAAGCAAAGGTGACAGTTCAGAATTTCTAAAGAGACTCAACCTGCTGGTGTAGAACATTAAACATTTGTACGACACTATCTTTGTGGGAAGAGGGGGTTAGGACAGGAATTTATGAAACACATTTCTTAGGAGTGTATAATTCAACCTTTTCTTTCTGATCTCTGGTGATCAGTGTAACTGTTTGTGCACAGCTGATGATTATTCCATAATTGTAGTATTTCAAGAGAGCTAATAATCCTCAGTTCTTTTGTTTCTTGATTGGCTTTTTTTAAAGGGTTGATTATGTTTTATTGTTTCCCCTAGAAGCTTCCCATTTCTGAAATTACCATACTGCCTTATCAAGGTCAAGATAGAATAACAATGAGATGTAGTGTCCCATTCATCATGTGGCAATTTTATTTTCCAATAACTTTAAACAATTTTGAAATCACATAATGATACATTTAGAATTATTGTCACCCAAGAAATAGAAACAGATTTAGTGGCAAAGACCTTCCAGTTTCATTTCAGTCATGGAATTTTGTTTATGTAGGAGCCTAGGTATGTACAGAAATATTTATCTACTAAAGGAATATTAGTCTTATTACTTTGTTTAGTTGAAAATGGAAGTTGAAACTCAGTGTGAGAATCTTTAAGTTCCTAGCATAGGGACTCTAACATTGTCTGACCAGGTTTACCAAGCAGACACAGCCTTTCTTAATCAATAAACCTGATCTTTTGGTAATACCACCCATGTGCTATGTGCTATGTTTGAAAACTGCTGATTGCTTTTGGTCTCCATAGCTACCAGACTGCTGCACGGACAGAATACCATTCAGAAGCCAGAACATCATCATGCATGTTTTTGACATTTTTTTTGACTTTGCTGAGTATTAAGTTTTGTTTCTTGCTTGTCATTGGAAGATCATAGATTTGTACTGTCAGTGGTTGTAAAGTATTGAGAATGGAGTGCCTTCTTTAGATAAGGAGATTCCTTGACTCTGCACTCAGAATTAAGACAAGTGTATTTTCTTTGTGGTTTGAGGCATAGCTTTCTAGGGCTTTATTTTCCACACTTCAGAGGCTGTTTTATAGGCTGAGACTGTCTATCTTTAGAATATTCAGAAAAATAGTCACATTGGAAGTTCTAATTAGTTTAGAAGGAATCTTCCAAACCACCTAGGATATTCTTACTAAATTTTTACAATAAATACATGTTTTGCTATCTACTCTATGTACAGTGCTGTGCTGGATCCTGGAAAGGTCCATTTTTTTCTAACATATTCTGATTTCATGATTCTTATCCTTGATTTCTGATTGCAGTACCTTACTTGGATGCTTTTACTTTTTAAATTGAGGTATGACTTACATACAATCAAATGCATAAGTCAAAGTGTGTAGTTTAATGAATTTTTGCCTATGTTTATATCTATGGAACCACTACCCAGTTTGAGATATAGAACATTTCTATTACCCAGAAAGTTCCCTTGGGATGACTCTCCCCAGTCAATATTACTTCTCCTCCTCACCAAAAGGTAATCACTGTTCTGAATTCTGTTGCCATACAGTCACTTGTAAATGGCTCTTTAAAATTTTCTTTTTTTCCTCCTTGATCTTTGCCTATAAGAAAAGGAAACATCAATGGAAATGTCCATGTCTTCGTTTTCAAGTACTGGATTGATTAAGTTGACTTTATATTCCAGACCAGGAATATATTCCAAGAATCTGCAGTAACCTGGGTTACACATTATAACACATTTTGTTTCACTAAGATAATATTGCTTGATTTAAATACCAAAAAAAACCCCAAAAAACCCTCCTACACACACACACACACACACACACACACACACACACACACACACGAGCCTTAAAAATGACAAAAAATTTACCTGGAAGAGTAGAACCTTGTTTATCAAAGTTAAGATTTACATAGTTATGGCAACAAAATTAAGTGCTGTCTGATCTCGTTTTAGTGAATATCTTCTGATATCACTTTAGTGAATAGCTCCAGCAGTGCCAGTCTCATTTTCTTCTGACTTACTGTATCTGAATCTCCCATAGTTGTGTAAATTGGCCACAGACTATTTTCAGCTCACTTTGAAATGGAAGTGTTCTATGTTATGTGTAGGTTAATCATTAGTATAAAGCAGGAAGTATAGCTTCTGTAACTCTGTTACCATCTTGATATATTTCACTGAGCTTTTCCTTTACTGAAATTTCCCATGTCTATAAATGGGAGTAGTATGTCTGCTCTTCATCTGCTTTGAGGAAATGCAATTTTAGTCTGTGGTCAGAATAATTTAGGTTTAAGAAGAAAGTGCTAAAAATGAAATTGAGGGGAATGGTCATTATAGATGCATGTTTTGGGTTCTTGATTTAATGGTAGTTCATATTTTAAAATCAATAAATTGAATTCTTTAAAATTAAATTTTTTTCATTTCCTCTTAGAATTTTATAAATGAAGAAAAATTTCATCTTCTCTTTTTGTAGAGTAAGGAAAACTGGTTTGCACTGCTGCCATTTGGTTACATTCTTCCTCATAAAGCCAGTTATTCTCTATAAAGAGTAAATACTTCCAAGTACATGGATATTTATTCAATTAGCGTTTATCTGGCTCAGTCCTTCTCCTGTCTCCCCTCCATGTTTAACCTTTTCAGGCCTCAAGGGTACCATTTAAGGTATGCTGTGATGGGAATTGTGCCCTGCTCTAACACATTAATGTGTCTTCCAAAGCACCTGCCTTATTAGTCCAGTGAAGAGAGCAACATCTTACCTTTTGAAAAACAGTTTGCTCCCTGGAGCAAATAGTGTCATTTAATCCCTCTTCCCAACATTTTGTTATGGTCGTAATATATTAAAAAGAACATCAAGTGTATCTGTGAGAGGGAAAAAGAAAAAGAAATCACCCAAGTCCTGGAGCAGTCATATTTTGTGAACTTAGTGGTGATGGGGAAATGGTGGACCTGTTTATCAGAATGTCGGTTCTCTTTAGCTCTGGTGTGGCTGGCCCACAAGTCTGCCCTGCCATTCTCTGCATGACCACATCACTTTGGGTAGGTAGCTAGACGCTGGAAAGTATTTGAGGTACATGTGATGCCCCATGTGATTTGTCTTTGATGGGCACCAAAAGTTCAGCTGTTGCCTTTTATTTTCAAAACTGGTGAATGCATTAAGTTGGAACTGACATCTTCTCAGTTATAATAGTGAGTATGGTACCGTGTTTCTAAGAACAATATAATTATCTCAAATTTTGAGCCATTGTGTGGGAGATAGTCAAATGAATATGCTCTAGCAATATTAGGTCATCAAGAAACTGTATAATTAAACAGGCATCTCTTTGATAGAGAAATAAATGAGTCACACTCCCTTTTTATGTGCAGTTCAGGGCCATTCTTGACAAGCAGTCATACGTGAGATTAAATTTGGGTCTATTGTTTTGGTGTAATTTCTGTGAATCTGTTGAGATGTTAATAGTAACTGTGGTCATTCAAAAAATAGCTATTCACGACTGGACCATTTTGCCATATAAGCCCTACTTCTTGTTAAATAATTGTATGAGACTGTTGTTTTTGCTGTTAGTATGTTTGACATTTTAGTACTATATTTTGTTTTCCCCTTTTTTAGTTTTTGTCATGTGCAACTAGTTAATTTATGAACACAGCCATTTTCCTTTCCTACAACTTTAGTCTTGCTGTTAGTATTTAGCTGTATTGAATTTTAGTTGCTTTCATCTTATTTAAAGCAAAAATGCAAATACTTAAATATACATACAAAAACTTACCTCTAATTTTGCGTTCAGAACATTGAATAAAAGGAAAACAGTATTATATGATTTTAGATAAATATAATACCACAGACTGCTAAAGTCACAAATATGGAAAAATAATTGTAGATCATAGAGATTTACATTGGGACGTGGTCATACAGAAGCCTGGGATGTGAAAACTCATATAATACTTTTGACTTGTCTTACTATGCCATCTTTTCTTTGCTTTTGACAACATAAGTACTGATGTGAAATTTCCTTTGGGTTTCTTGGCTGTAATAGTTGACATTGTAATTTTAGTTTCAAGGAAATATTTTAAACTAAATAAAGATAAGAACATTCTTTTCTTCTGGATATTTATATACGAATTCTAGTACAGAAATGGAATAAAAATATCCAATGGTTATTTTAAAATTCTCTTGAAAAGAACTATTGGTTTCCCTAATTGTTAATTTGGTT